TATGTATACTGTATTTTGAAAACCCAATAAATATATATTTAAAAAAATTAAAAAATTAAAAAAAACATGAGAAATGTGAGACTATACTGAACAGGTAATTTATTTTTACATTTTCATTAATTAAGAAAAAATGTTTTTTTATTTAAATGCCTGGTGCCTGTAATAACAGAAATAAAATAGTTAAATCATATTTGAATTGTTTTTGTACATTTATTTATATGTAAAAGAGGTGGGCATTTGCTATCTCAATATATTGATCACAGACTTGTGAATCAAATAGAATCGAAATTGTGACAGACTTTGTGATATTGAAAAAAATCATGTCGTCATACAAACAAATCAATATAATATCATATCGTGGTAAAGCTAGTGATTTACATCCCTAGTGTGTATGACAATAAAACTCTCTGACTGACTGACTCTGACTTTAAAGCTAGGAATAAAAACGTGTTTTGTGTTAACAGGATTTAATTCTAACTTTGAAACGTATCCAACATTAATAAAACTTACTTCAAGTTGCTTTTTGGACATGCATGCATATATTTGTACAAATTGTACTTGCCTGTAGAGAGGAGATTATTACAGCCTCATATAAAATCAATAATGATGATGATATTGAAATAGTATCAGTATTGGCTGATATCCAGATTTAGGCATTGGGATCGGAAGTAAAAAAAAAAAAGTGGATCGTGCTTCCCTAAATATTATTAGCATTAGCCAGGTGGAAATGACAGGTCGCACATGCGCAGTCAGGTCAGTTTTTCACAATCATAAAAAAAATGAACAGATTAAGTGTTTACATGCACACCTTTCGAATTATAAATCGGCATAAACCACCCATCTCATTCTGATTACAAATTCTTTCGGATCGAGCTGAATAAACAAAAAATAATCAGAATTGGGTGTTTACAGGACGCATTTTTATTCCGAATGGCCGTTTAATCCGATTACTTATGTCCATGTAAACATAGCTACTGTAGGAACATGACTGTTCTCACTTTAGTTTGGGCATTATGGTTCATGTTCCAAAGGACTGGAATTTACAGAAAGAGGAATGCCATCAAGTAAAGTAGTCATGTCTTCAAGCTTGTTTTCAATGAAGCCACTCCACCACTGGCTGTCCATAAATGGACTGTCCTTATATAGCGCCTTTCTATCTGATCAAGATACTCAAAGCTCTTTACAACAATCTGTGCCTCATTTACCCATTCATACAGCACTCTACTAGATCTCTACAAAGCTAATTGAACAAATCATTCTAAAGAGACTAATCAGTGCTTTATCACATTCATACACCGATGGGACACACATCGGAGGCAACGAGGGGTTCAGTGTCTTGCCCAGAGACACTTCAGCATGTGACTGCTGGTGGAGTCAAACCCCCAACTCTTGCAATGGAGGACGACTGGTCTAACCACTCAGCCACAGCCGCCCTAAATGGCCACAGAAATATTCCAATTTGATAATCATCACAATGATAGTGTGTTGGACTAAACCATCCTGTACCTTGCTATGACTGTTATCTCCGTATCGTCCCATCAGGTTGACCCGGTGGCAGTTTTTATACCAGAAGGCTCCCTTGTAGGACAGAGCACAGTTGGTGACGGCAATGTCGTTGTCATGGTCAAATGTGGAGAATGGACGCCCATGGTGGTAGGTCATAGAGTCACCTACAAAGTACAACATCAAAGAGACAAATGACATCAGTAAATGTATTGTCCCCCATAAGCATCCTTTTTGTCCCACACTCTTTTTCAGGAACTGGTCACCAGCTGAGACTGACCCCCCCCCAACACAAGTTGTAAGTGCTAATAGATTGAACAACACCTTTGTTCAAAACACTGCCATTAACTATTTGGATTCACCTCTGTCCGTTAGCAAAATATCTCATAAACTATGCCATGGATTTCAATGACATTTTCAGGAAATAATCATATTTACGTTTACTATAATTACCAGCTAAAATAAATCCAATTCAAAATGGCCACCACAGCTAATCAACAATAGTCAACCCAAAAATAGCTGTAGCTAAGTTAGTGTTATAGATATTGAGCTAAAATATGTGGCAGTCAAGAATCTTGTCGTAGCAGTGTACCTCATGGTGTTGCATAATTTGAGAAAAATTCTGTCATTGCTTAGCACAAGATAATCTTAGTCTACAAATATGAGCAATGTGCAATCCTTCAAGGATTGCTAGGCTTTTATTTTAACGTTTCCCATGTACATTTTACATGTGATGTTCAAATGGTATTTCTGTAGGATCTGGTGACCTAAAATATAAAACATAAACATAACGAGAACCTTTACAAGACAGAGCTAAAATGATTAAATTTAATATGCTAAGGTTTTCCAGTTTTTGCAATTCACCTTTGACATCATCCAGTCAGACTTGCTCCGTCTCAAACATGTCCAAAATGCAGACAAAACCTAAGCGATGCTTTTTTCAAACAGGAAGTCAGTCCCAGCAGTTCTTCCTCTGATTTTGTCCTCAAATGGTGTCCCTATTGAGTTTGTCGATTCCTATAAATATTTGGGTATCTTGGTCGACTCGCATCTCTCTTTTAAGCTCCAAGTGGAAATCTTGATAAAGAAACTGAAAGTTAAACTGGGTTTCTTTTTCAGAAACAGATCCTGACTAACTCTAAATGCTAGGAAATGCCTTGTAACTGCGACTTTCCTTCCCTTCATTGACTAGAGTGACATTATTTACATGAACACCCCCACAAGCACCCTGCAGATGCTGGATGCTGTCTATCATGGTGCATTAAGATTCATAACTGTCTGTAACTACAGTACCCACCACTGCACCCCGTATTCACTGGTTAACTGGACATCATTAACTTCACACAGACTCTCTCACTGGTACATTTTCATCTTTAAATCACTTCTTGGTCTGCTGCCTTCATACATCTCCTCCTACATGTCACTGCGTGAGTGCAGCTACAGCGTGCGCTCTCAGGACATTATTACTTGCAGTGTTCCCTCAGTGCGGACTGAACTTGGCAAAAGAGCCTTCTCCTACTCCGCTCCTGTTTCCTGGAATATCTTGAAAAAAGATCTGAAGCCCTCGACCTTTAGTTGATTCAAACATCTGCTAAGTTCATGGCAAAAACCAATGCAGACATGTTCCTGTTTTTAGTATTTTACCTCACTTTATTCTAGCTATTTTTGTTTTGTTTTTTAATACCATTTTCTGTCCACTGTTGTCATCACTCATTGTAAATGAGTCCCTGAGGCACAATGAGATTAACCTGAATAAATTAATGTTGAATGAAAAAATACACCTTATTTACCTATATGTGTCTCGATAAAGTGGAATTTCATTTATACATACTGTATTAAAATGTCACAGTGTTTTGCAGGAGCAAACTCATTTTAAAGTACCATAGCTGCTCACTAATCACGCCCCTCTACATGCACCAACCTGCTGATGCAAACAGAGCATCAAACAAGGATTTTCATCTGAAAATGGTCCAGATTAAAAGCAATTTTAAAATAAATTCTGTAACTAGGTTTCTGCAACCTACATTTGTAAATATTGTGTCAGCTGTTTGTCTTGGTCAGACAAGAGCTCTACCTGCTGTCCCGCTGTATCCTCCTACATGAACTTTGTAGCGGCTTCGAGGTTCGGAGACAGAGAACTTGTCGTATTGAGCGTATGCAGTCTCTCCCTTATCCCTGAGGTCAACTCGCAGCTCATACTGTCCTCCAGCTGTGATCTTGTGCAAGTTGGACAGACCTGAGTGAAGAAGGAGATACCTTAGTGTCCATCATACAACTGAGCAGATCCTGTTAACTTATAAAAAGGTTTCTATGTTTAAATGTCATATTTCACCCACAAAATACTTTAATTAGTATAAAGAAATATGAACTTATACAGAAATGATCTTCTACATAACTAACAACGCATATGTAATTATAAAAAAAATTCTACCAGCTGAGAATGACTGTTTTAATGTAGTCATGGGATAATAAAAAAATGCAGCATTTTTCAATTCAAAGGTTTATGTATCAGGGCATAACAAAACTGATCTCATGACCACTTCTTCATGTGTGTACAAAGAACACAAAATACAGCCACATGCTTCCATAGTACATATCATAGGTTCCGTTTCAGTCAGGAGCTGCTGATCAGATGCATTGATTGATTGATCATCATTGGTGTGAGCGCTTTTATAAAGACATGAGTTATATGAGGGGCGGCTGTGGCTGAGCGGTTAGAGCAGTCGTCCTCCAATGCGAGAGTTGGGGGTTCAAATCCACCAGCAGTCACATGCCGAAGTGTCCCTGGGCAAGACACTGAACCCCTCATAGCCTCCGATGTGTGTCCCATCGGTGTTTGAATGTGATAAAGCTCTGATTAGTCTCTTTAGAATGATTTGTTCAATTAGCTTTGTAGAGATCTAGTAGAGTGCTGCATGAATGGGTAAATGAGGAAACAGATTGTATTGTAAAGTGCTTTGAATATCTTGAAATAAGATAGAAAGGCGCTATATAAGTACATTCCTTTTACCATCCATTTACCATTTCAGTTTGCTCCTGGTTTTGCAGGTGGGGGGTTATTTAATGTCTGAAAGTTTCAGGAAAAGTGAGTAATCTAGTCTTTAGTTGCTGTGGTCATCATTACTGGGGCGGCTGTGGCTGAGTGGTTAGAGCAGTCGTCCTACAGTGCAAGAGTTGGGGGTTTAATTCCACCAGCAGTCACATGCTGAAGTGTCCCTGGGCAAGACAATGAACCCCTCATTGCCTCTGATGTGTGTCCCATCAGTGTATGAATGTGATAAAGCACTGATTAGTCTTTGTATAGATCTAGCAGAGTGCTGTATGAATGGGTAAATGAGGCACAGACTGTGTTGTAAAGAGCTTGGATAAACTAGAAAGGTGCTATATAAGAACTGTCTATTTACCATTACTGACTGAAGGCACAGTAGAGGGTTTTGTAGGGCTGCTTGATTTTTCTATTTGTGTGTTCTTGTTCTGTGTTCTGTATCTGGTAGGTTTCTCAGGGTAGCCTGTTTTATTAATACATGGGGGTGAATAAAAAGGACATTTTGTGATAAAAGTACAGTATGATGCAGTCGTAGGGCACAGGGCCCTGTGATGAACTGGAGACCTGTCCAGGTGTCCCTGTGATGGACTGGGGACCTGTCCAGGTGTCCCTGTGATGGACTGGAGACCTATCCAGGTGTCCCTGTGATGGACTGGAGACCTGTCCAGGCGTCCCTGTGATGGACTGGAGACCTATCCAGGTGTCCCTGTGATGGACTGGAGACCTGTCCAGGTGTCCCTGTGATGGACTGGAGACCTGTCCAGGTGTCCCCTGCCTGTCACAGTGATTGCTGGACATCGGCACCAGTGATCCCTGTGACCCCTGTGACCCGAAAAGGAAGAAGTGGGTAAAGATAATGGATGGATGGATGATGCAGTCAAGACCTTTTCATTGTAAATGGTAAATGGACTGTACTTATATAGCACCTTTCTATCTTATTTCAAGATACTCAAAGCACATTACACTGCAATCTGTGCCTCATTTACCCATCCACACAGCAATAGATCTCTACAAAGCCAACTGAACAAATCATTCTAAAGAGACTAATCAGAGCTTTATTACATTCATACACTGATGGGACACACATCAGAGGCAACGAGGGGTTCAGTGTCTTGCCCAGGGACGCTTCAGCATGTGACTGCTGGTGGATTCGAACCCCCAACTCTTGCATTGGAGGACGACTGCTCTAACAACTCAACCACAGCCGCCCTGTATGTGTCAGATGAAGTTCATCTTACTGGCCACTTAGTGTTCAGCACTCAACCTTTTGATAAATCAGATTTTTTTTAATTGTAGAAATTTAATAAATGCACTTCAAGTTGCTGTAAAATACATAGATTTGAGTAAATAAATAAAAGTAAATAAGATGGGGACATGCCGCCAGACATTCCCCTGGGATTGCTGTATATCTCTGGTACTTGTGAATACGTGCACGTGTCCTTCACTGCCATCAGCAAACGTTGGCAGGTTTGTAGAAACAAACTGAAGAAGTACGTTTTTTGCAAGGGCTGTAGGAGAAAAACTTTTGCCTCTAAAAAGAACATGACAGCACGAGAGGTTTGTAAAGTTTCATCTGAATAAAGCACAGGACTTCTGGAACCATGTCCTTTGGACAGATGAATCCAAAGTAGTTACTCAAAATGCTTAGGGTCATATTTGGAGAAAACCAAACACAGCATATGAGCACAAACACCTCAAACCAACTGTCAGCATGGTGGTGGATGGCTGAGGGTGTGGGCTTGTTTTGTAGTCTGCGAGTGAACTATGATCTCCTCTGGAGACCAAAGGATTTTGGAGTCAAACGTGAGATCATCAGTCTAACTGAAGGTTGGACCAAACTGGGTCATGATGAAACAGAACAATGATCCCAAACGCCCTTTTTTTTTTCATTTACTCTTTATTTATACAGGTAGTCTCATTGAGTCATGAGAACTCATTTTCAAAAGAGACCTGTTTTTTGGGAGCAGATGGTGGGGGTTAATGGCTAAGGCTCAGGGGTCCAGAGTGGGGCAAATGAGGGTGGAGGCAGGTGTGGGTGTTTCACTTTTTCCACCTGCATTTTGATGTTGATGGTACCAGGAGTTGACCCTGCGACTTTCCTATCACAGACCCATCTTCTCTAACCTCTGCGCCACCACTCCCCAGACACAACAGCAAATTTGAAACAAATGTCTGGCCTCAAGCTGAAGCAATGTGAAGCAAAGTGGGCCAAAAAAGGTAAAGTAACGGAGAAAATAAACCTTGAATAAATGTTTTGTTGCAAATGTGGTTTTACAAGCTGCTGGATCATAGACTGCACTTCTGCTGCAATCCATCCATCCATTATCTTTACCCGTTTATTCCATTTTGGGTCACGGGGGTCGCCGTTGCCCATGTCTAGCAATCACTGTGCGAGGGGCGGGGTACACCCTGGACAGGTCGCAAGTCCATCACAGGGCCACATAGAGACAAACGAGACAAACAACCATTCACTCTCTCACTCACACCTAGGGACAATTTAGAGTTACCAATCAGTCTAACATGGATGTTTTTGGTCTGTGGGAGGAAACCGGAGCACCCGGAGAAAACCCACGCATGCACGGAGAGAACTTGCAAACGCCACCCAGAAAGGCCCCTGGACCGGGGTTTGAACCAAGGACCTGTTCGCTGAGAGGCACTTCTGCTGCAATTATACCATACAACTAATATTTCAGCTTTGTTCTGAATAAAAAAGGAGATGTAGAACCTGTAGTGTGTGTCAGGGACATTAGATTTGAATATTTTTAGAATCTGGTAAAACCAGGTCAGTTTTCTGCCATCCATCCATTTTCTTCCGGTTATCCGGGGTCGCGGGGTTGCAGCCTCAGTAGGGAGGCCCAGACTTCCCTCTCCCCAGCCACTTGGGCCAGCTCTTCCGGGGGAATCCCGAGGCGTTCCCAGGCCAGCCGAGAAACATAGTCCCTCCAGCGTGTCCTGGGTCTTCCTCTGGGCCTCCTTCCGGTGGGACGTGTCTGGAACACCTCACCAGGGAGGCGTCCAGAAGGCATCCTAAAGAGATGCCCAAGCCACCTCAACTGGCTCCTCTCAATGTGGAGAAGCAGCGGCTCTACTCTGAGTCCCTCCCAGATGATCGAGCTTCTCACCCTATCTCTAAGGGAGAGCCCAGACACCCTGCGGAGAAAAAAAATTTTTGTCCGCTTGTATTCGAGATCTCATTCTTTTGGTCACAACCCAAAGCTCGTGACCATAGATGAGGGTAGGAACGTAGATCGATCGGTAAATTGAGCTGCTTCACTGCTGACGCTGCACCTATCCACCTATCGATCTCACGCTCCATTTTTCCCTCATTCGTGAACAAGACCCCAAGATACTTGAACTCCTCCACTTGGGGTAGGACCTCCTCCCTGACCCGGAGAGGGCACTCTACCCTTTTCTGGCTCAAGACCATGGCCTCGGATTTGGAGGAACTGATCTTCATTCCGGCTGCGTCGCATTCGGCTGCGAACCGCTCCAGCGAAAGCTGTAGATCATGATCTGATGAAGCCAATAAGACCATATCATCTGCAAAAAGCAGAGACACAATCCTAAGGCCACCAAAACAGATCCCCTCAACACCTTGGCTGCGCCTAGAAATTCTGTCCATAAAAGTTATGAACAGAATCGGTGACAAAGGGCAACCTTGGCGGAATCCAACCCTCACCGGGAACAAGCCCGACTTACTGCCGGCGATGCGGACCAGGCTCTGACACCGGTCATACAGGGACCTAGCAGCCCGTATCAAAGAGTCCGGTACCCCATACTCCCAGAGTAACCCCCACAGGGTTCCCCCAGGGACGCTGCCGAATGCCTTCTCCAAGTCCACAAAGCACATGTAGACCGGTTGGGCAAACTCCCACGCACCCTCCAGGACCCTGCTGAGAGTGTAGAACTGGTCCAGTGTTCCACGGCCAGGATGAAAACCGCACTGCTCCTCCAGAATCCGAGGTTCGACTATCCGACGGACCTTCCTCTCCAGAACCTCCGAGTAGACCTTACCAGGGAGGCTTAAGAGCGTGATTTGCCTGTAGTTGGAACACACTCTACGGTCCCCCTTTCTGAATAGGGGGACCACCACCCCGGTCTGCCAATCCAGGGGAACTTCCCCCGATGTCCATGCAATATTGCAGAGTCGCGTAAGCCAACACAACCCTACAACATCCAGAGCCTTAAGGAACTCCAGGCAAATCTCATCCCCCCCTGGGGCCCTGCCACCAAGGAGCTTTTTAACCACCTCTGTGACCTCAGCACCAGAGATTGGAGGGCCCGACTCAGAGTCCCCAGGCTCCGCTTCCTCACTGGAAGACGTGCCGGTGGGATTGAGGAGGTCTTCAAAGTATTCCACCCACCGACCCACAACATCCCGAGTTGAGGTCAGCAGCACACCACTCCCACTATAAACAGTGTTGGTGGCATACCGCTTTCCCCCCCTGAGACGCCGGATGGTGGACCAGAATCGCCTCGAAGCCGTGCGGAAGTCATTCTCCATGGCCTCTCCGAACTCCTCCCATGCCTGAGTTTTTGCCTCAGCGACCACCCGAGCTGCATGTCGCTTGGACTGCTGGTACCCATCAGCTGCTTTTGGGGTCCCACAGGCCAAAAAGGCCCGATAGAACTCCTTCTTCAGCCTGACAGCATCCCTCACCAATGGTGTCCACCATCAGGTTCGAGGGTTGCCGCTGTGACAGGTACCGACAACCTTGCGGCCGCAGCTCCGGTAAGCCGCCTCGACAATAGAGGCACGAAACATGGTCCACTCGGACTCAATGTCCCCCACCTCCCTCGGAACATGTTCGAAGTTCTCCCGGAGGTGGGAGTTAAAACTCCATCTCACAGGAGACTCTGCCAGACGTTCCCAGCAAACCCTCACAATACGTTTGGGTCTGCCAGGTCTGACTAGCATCCTCCCCCACCATCAGAGCCAACTCACCACCAGGTAGTGATCAGTGGACAGCTCCGCCCCTCTCTTCACCCGAGTGTCCAAGACATGTGGCTGCAGATCAGATGAGACAATGACAAAGTCGATCATCGAACTGCAGCCTAGGGTGCCCTGGTGCCAAAAGCACATATGGACACCCTTATGCCTGAACAAGGTGTTTGTTATTGACAATCCATGACGAGCACAGAAGTCCAACAACAGAACACCACTCTGATTCAGATCAGGGGGGCCGTTCCTCCCAACCACACCCCTCCAGGTCTCACTGTCATTGCCCACATGAGCAATGAAGTCCCCCAGCAGAACAAGGGAGACCCCAGGAGGTGCACTTTCTAGTACCCCCTCCAAGGACTCCAGAAAGGGTGGATAATCTGAACTGCCGTTTGGTGCATAAGCATAGACGACAGTCAGAACCCGTCCCCCCACACGTAGGCGGAGGGAGGCCACCCTCTCATTCACCGGGGTGAACCCCAACACACAGGTACCAAGTTGGAGGGCAATAAGTATGCCCACTCCTGCTCGGCGCCTCTCACCAGGGGCAACACCAGAGTGGAAGAGTATCCAGCCCCTCTCAAGGAAACTGGTTCCAGAGCCAGAGCCATGTGTAGAGGTGAGTCCGACTATTTCTAGCCGGAACCTCTCATCCTCACACACCAGCTCAGGCTCCTTCCCCACCAGTGAGGTGACATTCCACAGTTTTCTGCCGTGAAAATAAACCCTCCAATTCAAAGAGGCTGCACTTTTATTTTCCCATGACTCTATGTCTATTTATTAAAAATGTTTACATATTTTCAATACAGTCATATAGTTTATGAATTGTAGATGACTGTATTGTGTTTTGCAAGATATTACCAAGCCAGAATTCATCATTCATGTCTCCAAAACCAGCTGTGTAATTCTTCCAGTTGCGGAAGAACTCCAGGTGACCACTTTGACGTCGGAGAAAAACCTGAAAGAAACAAATAAATTAAAAAGTAGCTGCAGAAGAATCAGCAGAAAAAAAAAACTTAGCAGACAAATATTTTTCTGTCTTATGATTGTCCTTCAATAAAAAGAAACACTTTCTTTTATTCAATCTCAAAGCATTTGTTTCTGTTTTACACGGGAAGAGCCCAGCCTATATATATAGTAGTCCTTCACTTATTGTAGGGGATTACATTCCAGACACCTCCGCGATACGTGAAAATCCACAAAGTAACAAGATTATATTTATTTTAGCAATGATATATATTTTAAGGGTTTAGAAACCCTTCCAACACTCTTGCAATGTTCTTAAAAATAAAAATAAACTCTCTCCACGTTCTAAAAGAGCACAGCGAAAGAGAGCAGACTGAGTGATGCAACGGTTAATGAGCCAGTCCCGGGGGCAGACTGGACATCGGAAGCACTGGGATGTTTCCCATTTTTCCATTGATTATTTTAAATAAACAATCCATGCCACTTGTGTGGCTCACTCAGGTATAAGACAGACACTCCCACCCCTTCCTTTCTTTTTCTGAGGCCGGGGCCCGATGTTTTGAACCACTTTGCTATAACTGTCTCAGAGGAGTTGACGGGGGAGAGAGTGGACCCTGGAGGCCATCTTAGCACCAGTAAACTGTTTTTTCCACTATGGAGTGTGCTGCTTTTGGGAATCAGTTTGTTGGTGTCTCCTCAGATTGAAGAAGTCCTTTGAATGAAGGATGAAATGTCTCAGCAAAAAGAGAAACCGTCCAGATGACCTGACTGAACATTGTTGGATTATTACCTGGATTACTGACCGTGAACTTTGGTGTTGATTAAAAACACTTTAAAGAATAATAAGAAAATCTGACTGCTAGGAGAGAAATGAGACAGACAAAGAGGTGGTGCTGGAATGTTGCTCACTGTATTTTCTGCTCATATTTACTGTGAAACACTTACAATCCATCCACCTCCATCGGTGCTCATGTCGCAGTACACCTGCAGGGGCTGGCTCTCATCCCCCCCAATGTAGATGGTGTACAGGCCTGGGGAGGTGTCACCATTCAGCAGGGTTTGGGAGCAGTCCCGGGGGTGTCTGTAAAGCACACCAGCTAAACACACACACACACACACACACACACACAATGCAAAGCAATAAGAAAACGTACAATGAAATAATTTTTGACTTCATGCTGTTTTCTTTTAGCTAACAGGAGACAGTCTTACTGGTGGATTTCACTGCCATGAGGCGAAAAACAATTCCTCAAATAATAGGGGTAGTCAGTTTACACGTTTATATATGGTGGTGGACATCTTGTATTTTACATGGCAACCCAAATTTGGACATTGACTTTTCTTATGCCTAGATGCAGACACACACTGGAATGGAAATCTGCACGTTGCTTTTTATCCTAGTTATAGATAACAAGGTTTACATATATATACATACAGTATATACATATATGACAGCAGCCATCTTGGATTGTAATGTAGCAACCCAACTTGTAAGTTATCATGCTCACAACATGGACAGATGGACAAAGAGGATATTTCCCAGTCGTCTCTGTGCTCCAGGACAGGGGACAAATAACTGCTGAAAGACTGACAGAACACTTTCACACTGATTTAAAGAAAGTTTTAAATATTTCTGCTCTCCTTCGAGCTTTTCATGTTTTAAGTATTTTGAGTTTTCATTCATAAGTTTCTGTGCTGCCTCGTCAGCCCTTTGTTTCACCCTGTTTTGTTTTAATAAATTATTTTTTTTTTTATGGGGAGTGGTGGAGCAGTAGGGCAGGGTGGCGCAACTGGTAGAGCTGCTACCCCTCAGTGAGCAGGTTACTCGGGTTCAAATCCCAGTCCTGGGACCTTTCTGAGTGGAGTTTGCATGTTCACTCCGTGCATGCATGGGTTTTCTCCGGGTACTCCGGTTTTCTTCCACAGACCAAAAACATGCATGTTAGGCTGATTGGTAACTCTAAATTGTCCCTAGGTGTGAGTGAGAGAGTGAACGATTGTTTGTCACGTTTGTCTCTATGTGTCCCTGTGATGGACTGGAGACCTGTCCAGGGTGTCCCCCGCCTCTCGCACAGTGAATGCTGGACACCAGTGACCCCTGTGACCCGAAAAGGAAGAAGTGGGTAAAAGATAATGGATGGATGGTGGAGCAGAGGCTAGAGAAGGTGGGCCTGTGATTGGAAGGTCGCTAGTTCAACTCTCCAGACCAACATTAAAATGTGTGCAGAAAAGGTGAAATACCCACACCTGCCTCCACCATCATTTGCCCCACCCTGGGCCCTTGAGCAAGGCCCTTAACCCCAACCATCTGCTCCCCTGGGCGCCCTAAAGAGCAGCTCTCTGCTCCACACAGAGGGCTGTGGTAGCTCAGTGGTATGTGGTTGTGTCAGGAAGGACATCTAGTGTAAAAACAATCACCAAGTCTTCATGTGAGATAGTTCGCTGCTGTGACCCCTGAAGAAGAGAGCAGCCGAAAGAAGAAAAAGAAAAAACAAAACTTTTTTTTCCTGTTGGGTTTTAGTTTTCTCGTGTTTTTGTTTTTTACATCAGTGCTAGTTTTGGCTGTCAGCAGCAAACTGGTTGATCCACTATGAGAAGGTGCTATTTATAAGACTGAGCTGAACACAACTCCTCAGACTGAAGAAGTCTTTCAGATGAAAGATGAAACGTTTCTACATTTTTTTATTTGTTTATTTTTTTGGATGTTCAGAGGATCTGACTTCACATTTTTAGATGTTTCTACCAGGATTATTGAGCATGCATCAAAATATCAGTACTGTACATATATCAAAAATTGGTATCGGCCCCCAAAACAAGAATTTCAAGATACATCTCTAGGTTTTAGCATGTGTCATTTTACGTCTTAATTTTAAAATTATTTGTTAAAATGTCGAAGTGAATATAAATATATTTTTACTTGTCATTTTTAAGAAGGAGGGTTTAAAATTTTACTCTTCGTTGCCACCTCCAAAGGCAAATGGTTAAATGTGTGCATGGGCGGCTGTGGCTGAGTGGTTAGAGCAGTCGTCCTCCAATGTGAGAGTTGGGGGTTCAAATCCACCAGCAGTCACATGCTGAAGTGCCTCTGGGCAAGACACTGAACCCCTCATTGCCTCAGATGTGTGTCCCATCAGTGTATTAATGTGATCTAAATCACTGATTAGTCTCTTTAGAATGATTTGTTCAGTTAGCTTTGTAGAGATCTAGTATAGAGCTGTATGAACGGGTAAATGAGGCACAGATTGTTGTAAAGAGCTTTGAGTATCTTGAAATAAGATAGAAAGGCGCTATATAGCTAATCAAGACACTCAAAGCCCTTTACAACAAAATCTGTGCCCTCATTCACCCATTCATACAGGACTCTACTACACACCGTTCAATAGATAATAATAATAATAATAATAATAATATATTTATATGTACATATGTGTATATGTACTGTATATACAGTGCCTTGTGAAAGTATTCGGCCCCCTTGAACTTTTCAACCTTTTGCCACATTTCAGGCTTCAAACATAAAGATATAAAATTTTAATTTTTTGTGAAGAATCAACAACAAGTGGGACACAATCATGAAGTGGAATGAAATTTATTGGATGTGTCAAACTTTTTGAACAAATAAAAAACTGAAAAGTGGGGCGTGCAATATTATTGGGCCCCTTTACTTTCAGTGCAGCAAACTCACTCCAGAAGTTCAGTGAGGATCTATGAATGATCCAATGTTGTCCCAAATGACTGATGATGATCAATAGAATCCACCTGTGTGTAATCAAGTCTCCATATAAATGCACCTGCTCTGTGATAGTCTCAGGGTTCTGTTCAAAGCACAGAGAGCATCATGAAGACCAAGGAACAAACCAGGCAGGTCCGAGATACTGTTGTGCAGAAGTTTAAAGCCGGATTTGGATACAAAAAGATTTCCCAAGCTTTAAACATCCCAAGGAGCACTGTGCAAGCAATCATATTGAAATGGAAGGAGTATGAGACCACTGCAAATCTACCAAGACCCGGCCGTCCCTCTAAACTTTCATCTGGAACAAGGAGAAGACTGATCAGAGATGCAGCCAAGAGGCCCATGATCACTCTGGATGAACTGCAGAGATCTACAGCTGAGGTGGGAGAGTCTGTCCATAGGACAACAATCAGTCGTACACTGCACAAATCTGGCTTTTATGGAAGAGTGGCAAGAAGAAAGACATTTCTCAAAGATATCCATAAAAAGTGTTGTTTAAAGTTTGACACAAGCACCTGGGAGACACCAAACATGTGGAAGAAGGTGCTCTGGTCACATGAAACCAAAACCCAACTGTTTGGCCACAATGCAAAATGATATGTTTGGAGTAAAAGCAACACAGCTCATCACCCTGAACACAACATCCCCACTGTCAAACATGGTGGTGGCAGCATCATGGTTTGGGCCTGCTTTTCATCAACAGGGACAGGGAAGATGATCAGAATTGATGGGAAGATGGATGGGGCCAAATACAGGACCATTCTGGAAGAAAACCTGTTTGAGTCTGCAAGAGACCTGAGACTGGGACAGAGATTTATCTTCCAACAAGACAATGGTCCAAAACATAAAGCCACATCTACAATGGAATGGTTCACAAATAAATGTATCCAGGTGTTGGAATGGCCAAGTCAAAGTCCAGACCTGAATCCAATCAAGAATCTGTGGAAAGAGCTGAAGACTGCTGTTCACAAACGCTCTCCATCCAACCTCACTGAGCTCGAGCTGTTTTGCAGGAAGAATGGGCAGAACTTCAGTGTCTCCATGTTCAAAACTGACAGAGACATACCCCAAGAGACTTGCAGCTGGAACTGCAGCAAGAGGAGGAGCTACAAAGTATTAACGCAAGGGGGCCCAATAATATTGCACGCCCCACTTTACAGTTTTTTATTTGTTTAAAAAGTTTGACACATCCAATAAATTTCATTCCACTTCACGATTGTGTCCCACTTGTTGTTGATTCTTCACAAAAAATTAAAATTTTATATCTTTATGTTTGAAGCCTGAAATGTGGCAAAAGGTTGAAAAGTTCAAGGGGGCGAATACTTTCGCAAGGCAATGAAAAATAATTGAATAGACATCTGAGGCTGATTACATTTTGGTTTCAACCCAATTAAAGATGGTCGCCACAGCTAATCAACATAAACATGGCTATATCGTCAAATGTACAGTTATTGAGCTATTGATGTGGCTGTAGCTGAGAGTCATTCACGACACATACTGAGCATGGCATCTTAAAACTCAATATAAAAAGGTTCTAATTTAAAACTCTGGCATACAAGGAAGATGCAGTCCTTCAAAGTTTAACTGGCCTTCATTTATTTTAGATTTCACCATTAATAAATGTAACATCAGACCACGTTATAAAATGTTTTAACATGATTAACAAAGCATTCACTGCCGATGGCAGACGTTAGCTGCTACCTGTTGGTGTAAATCTACTCACTGGTGGTGAAGACGGTGCTGATGACTCGGCTTCTCTTGGGCCCAGCGAGGGCCTGCAGCCTGACCGTGTACTCGGTGGAGGCGGTCAGCTGAGCCATGTTGTATGACACGGCGGTGGGACTCAAGACCACCTCCTGAAAGAAGAGAGGTGTTAGTCTCATTCTGTTGGTATTTAGAGTACAACCTGAGCTCATCAGTGAAGTTCTGCAGCACACTGACCCGAATGGTTCCACCGGCAGACTCAAAGCTGAGGATGTAGCCAGTGATGTCAGCACGGGGGGGCTTCCAGGTGAGCATAGTGTTCTCTGTCTGGATGTTGCTGGCTGCAAGGTCCTGAGGAGCATCCACATCTAAACATACAGAGAGGTTTTGTTTTAATGGATGTTTTTTTTTTAAGCCTTTAAATTAACTGAAGCCTAAAGTTTGAAAACCTGCAGCAAATAGAAAAAGTGGTGTTTATTTGGTCTTACCTTACAATCTGGAATTTACAACTGTAAATGACTTAAATGACTCCACTTGATTAAAATTAATGAAGCTAAGCATTTTATGGGTGCATATCAGTAATTAGTCACCTCCTGAAAGTCAATATTTTGTAGCGTCACCTTTGGCAGCAGTTAGTGTACATCTTAGATCCTTATATCCACAGTTCTAGAATTGCGCCGCTCCAGGTGGCTGCATGTTGGAGCAGCTCTGTTACTTTCATTCTGAGGTTTTGCTTTTGGAAACTTCAATTTCTCTTTTTCTGGATGTAAATCACTTTTTTTTTTGAATGATTGTTTCCTCTGGTATCAGATGCTGTGCAGCTGGAAGGATTTTTACTGAAACTTTTTTAGTTTTGGACATTTCTTATGTTGCGTAACCATGGCAACAAGGCAATTTTCTACAACCAACAGCAGCTGATTAACATCTAAAAAGTTCAAATAATATCTCAACTACAGCCCCAAATCTCAAATGAGTTGAAAGGATGTTCTGTGGATGCATTCTCATCTACCTGCCAGCTGAGCTCGAGTGCCTGACCACATTTTCCTGGAACTAGCAGGAAACACAGCTCATGAGAGCGGAAGGACAGGATCGTCTCTCAGCACCTACAGCTGGCTGTCCGCAGCAACGAGGAGATCAGCAGACTGCTGGGAGGAGTGGCCATCGCTCTGGGAGGAGTTCTGCCCAGCATTCGGGCAGTTCTACAGCCCGGGGGAACCGAGAGGCCAGCTGAGTCTGGGTGGACGGATCAGACGGCATCTGCAGCCATTTTCTTAGGATCTACTGTGGGATGGACCTTTACAAGAGATCCTTCCTGCCTACAGCCATCAGTATCTATAACATCTCTTAATGAAATGAGGATAATGAGTTACAACAACAAATAATTTCCCTTTAGGATTAATAAAGTATTTTTGAATTGAATTATATACTGTTTCTTTTTAGACTTTATGTTTTTGCCATTTTTGGGTGTAACTGGGAGCTGTGTACATAATTTCATTCCACCTCATATACCAAATGTGATGCGAATGACAATAAACTTAACTTGAACTTGAGCTCCAGCTGCAGTTTGAGATCCATCTCCATGAGCTAGGCTCCTTTAATTTGGATGGGTGCTGTTTGTTCCAGGACCCTTACATGGTGCTCATTAAACCAGTGGTGTTGCATCAGCAGTCAGTTTATTCCCACTTTTATCTTAGTTCATCTGAAGTATTTCGTGTGGGTCCATCACTTACAGTATTACTTATTCCAGATTGTAAAGCAACGAATTGTAAAAATACTAGAGGGTGAATACTTTTGCATCCAATTGTGTTTCTAAATTGCCTATGACTTCATAAAACTAAGTCCTACATGTGTGAAACCCATCAAACCTGTGGTAAACTCTGCTGTAGTGGCTGCGCTCTTGGCCAAGTCTCTCACAGCGTAGACCTTCACAGTGTAGTGTGTCGCTGGCGTCAGGGAGTTCATCTCAAACTCCACCACATTTCCAGATACACGCTCCATCACCGGAGCCACTGCAACACACACAAGACTTGTTCAATTTTGTCACCGGATACATTTGATTTTTTTCCCATTTACACCAGCTTACTGACTGCACATTTGGGTCCTCATCAACCAACAACCAAAAATAGAATACAAGTACTTACTGGGTAAGAACTTGTTATGTATCTAGTACTGTACTTGCATATCTGGTACTTATCAAATACATGCCAAATAGGATACAAAGTACCCACATGAATCAGGCACCCAGTAAGCACCTGGTTGGTTCCAGAAATGATCAAGAAAATTACTGAGTATATACCATGTTTGCACGTACATGGTAAGTACTTGATAAGTTCCAGGTACGTACCTGGCAAGTATCGGGCATGTACCCAGCAAGAATCTGGTTGGATCAGTGAACATGTCTATGACATCATATACCTGGCAAATTGTGTCTTGCTGTCATTATGTCATTGGTTCTTAACAGGCAAGTGCCAGGTACAAACAAGGTCAGTACTGTGTAAATAGGGAGAAAACATGGGAGACTGCAACAAAGACTCAACGAGTCTGCTGGCTTCTTTCCTTAAATAGAGAACTTTACTAATTGGCTTTTGTATCTATATGAATGTTTTTGTTCAGTGCCCTGAAACAACTTCTGTTGTGACTTGGTGCTATATAAATAAAATGAACTGTATTGAATTGAATTAAATACAGGGTATGTATCAGGCATAGGCATAGCAACAATTATATGTGAGGGGGACGTGTCCCCCCCATATTTAAAAAATATTCATTTGGGCCCCCCCCCCCCCCCACACACACACACACATACATTTACCAAGGAATATTAGTTCACCCAGCACTGTTTCTGTTTCTCCATGAATAAATCCAATCCACTTGATTAATAGGAGAATACTCAAACCACTTTAAGTCCACTCAGGATTTTCCTGGTTACCTAAAACATCTCACCATCACATGCAGTGTTTGTCCTACTTGCCTTGGCGGACGCTCATGGTGGGTAGGAGGGGGAGACACCTCTGTGTTGCGCACTAGCTTAGCGCTACATTAGAGCCGGCAACTGTTGACCGGGGTGGGGGGTTAGGATGTGTGAGAGAAGTGGAGCGCTACGTTTGTAGCATCTTACCTAGCACATCTGTGTTGTGCATCGCTACCTTAGCGCTTCGTTAGTGCTGGCTGTTGTGTGTGTGTGTGTGTGGGGGGTGTTAGTATGCGTGACAAAAGCGGAGCGTGCTGTTGGTAAGGCTACTTCTTGTGCCATGCTCTCTAAAATAGTTATTGAATCAGGTGTTTACTTATGGAGATGTTTAACAACCTGTTAAAGTACACCAGAACGCAGGAAATGGTTGAACTTTATTCAAAAATTTCTGGGGGACGACCCCCAGACCCCCCAACCAGTTTGTCCTCCCCACATTAGAAATACTTCTGACGCCAATGGTACCACGCACATACCAGTAAGTATAATATAAATACATAAAAAACAAACTGTTTTCTGATTTTAATTATTTATTGTTGGATGTGTTTCCTTGGATGTGTTAGTTTACCTATGTATACTGTTTGTACAAAGGTGTGTGTGTGTGTGTGTGTGTGTGTGCGTGTGCATGTAGATACCAGAGTCAGCACTGTATGTGATGACATAACCATCTACTGTAGCAATGGCAGGCTGCCACAACAACAGGGCCTCAGTGTCTGTGATGTTGACTGCAGTCAGACCACGAGGCTTATCCAGAGCTGGAACACACACAAGACACTATAAGCTCACTGATAATAAAAAAATCACAGAGAATATATGGTTCGATTTGAATGTACAGTGGTTAGATCCACATGCACAATGATAAATATGTAAATGATTTTATGTACAAGGAGCTTCATGTCTAGAATGAGCACAGTGTAGGGAGTGGCATCCAGAGTGCAATAATAAAGCTTGTTCAGACCTGGAATTCAAAATGTTTTATTTTAATCCAGTTACAGATAGCACCAAATACAGGTGTGGATTACCTCAATATGCACTGAAATTATTTAGGCTCACAACACCTTCATAGAGGTCTGTACCCCTTTTATACACATATTTTTGGTAGTCTGAAAGCAGTCTGTTCAGAACCAAGCTGCAGGACCTCCTACTGAACTGACGTTACTCAACACAGGCAGTGGAATGGACAGCTTATGGTAAAATAATAACAATATTGTCTTCAGAATAATGTAAAGATTCAGACTTTTTTTCTTTCAGCTAAAGGCTTAATGAGTTGTTCATTCCAATACTTCTCAGAATAAATTAGTTTTCTTTTATTAATCAGAATAAATTATTGGACGTTGTTTTGGTGAGTTGGTCTTCAGGTTAATGTTTCTTTTGGTTGTTTTTGGACCAGATGTGGTCACTGTATACTAACATTTTTGAATCCAGTAATGGGATATATTTTCTGGAAACAGTGTTACTTTTCATTTTTATGCTGATGACAGCCAAATTTATGTTCCATTAAAACAAGACAAACAGTACTCCATGAACCAACTCCTGGAATGTATAGCAGAAGTCAGCGCATGGATGTCACAGAACTTTTTACATTTTATTGACAAAAGGACAGAGGTCCTGTTGTTCAAGTCCAGTGATGGTTCCAAAGTCCATGCTGATCTGGGTCATTTCACAAAAACATCTGACTGAGACAGCAACTAACCTGATGTGAGGCTGGACAATGATTTTAAACTGGATTAAATCTGTGGTCAAGTCCAGCTTTTATCACCTGAGACAACTGGCCAAGGTCAAAACATTCCTGTCACAACATTTTAAGATTTTAATCCATGTGTTCATCACAACTCGTCTGGACTACTGTAATTCTTTATGTGGGTCTGAGCCAGTCATTACTGACTCAACTTCTGCTGGTTCAGAATGCTGCTGCTCGTCTTTTAACTGGTACCAGAAACAGGGCAGATCACCCCGTTTTAGAATCACTACACTGGCTCCCAGTTGGTTTCCGGATTAATTTTAAGGTTCTTTTACTTGTTTTCAAATGTCTTCATGGTCTCACAGTATCTGGCTGACTTGCTCCAGCTGTACGTTCTCTCATGCTCTCTCAGGTCAGCAGATCAGCTGCTGTTGGTCGTCCCAAAGTCTAACAGGAGGCTGAGAGGTGACCGAGCAGTCGCTGCCCCTAAACTGTGGAACAAGCTGCCTCTGACATCACTTCCTGTTTTTAAATCTTCTCTGAAAACACATTTTTTCTCTTTGACTTTTAACTCAGATTGAAATGTTGCTTTTACTGTTTTTAATTAATTAATTATTTTTATTTTATTGTTTTTACAGTTTGCTGTTTTAGGATTTTCACAGTTCATTACTTTTATGGTTTCAGTTGATATTAAATATTTGTTATGCTTTTATGTGTTATCATTGAACAAAACTTTGGCCAGTGGTGTTGTATTTAAAATGCTCTATAAATAAAGTTGTATTGTAATGTAAGACGTATGTGTTGTAATATAGGGGTTATGGTCTACAACTACTGGTCAGATTAAAAATGTGTCTTTTCCTAATAACCCAGTAAACCTGTAAAGACTGGATCTGGAGTGTAAGAATGTCTCAGAAGTCGTATTCACAGGCTGATCTGTGCACAGTAGGTTATTTGTGCACAGGCATTTGGCAATTTGTATGTGCAACATATTCCTACTTGTGCAAATTGAAATGTGTGCATTTGAAAAGCAGTTAATGAATTTTTGAATCTTGTATGCTTGATTAGTTTGAGACTAATTTATATTCATATAGCTCCAAAGTGATAAATATACATTTACATAGTACACTCTCAATGTTTGATTTCAATAAAAAAAAACAGAAAACAAAAACACAAATATCTGTTCCTGTGCATGTTGTGTAAGATACCTGTGGTGATGCTGTCAGATCCAGGCTCACTTTCTCTTTGACTTTTGACAGCGACAATAGTGACCTCATACGTGACTCCAGGTGTCAGGTGGGGCAACACGGTCTGAGAGTCAGAGCCGTCCACAGTCAGCGTGTTAGCATTGCCTGGAAGTGAAAACAACTTATGTCATTCTGCTGATATTAGACCCTAATGTTTACATTTTAAATTTAGCGTGTTCCTTCATTGCTCGTTCATCTCAAATGATTGCAATGAAGTATGTAATTTATGTAATTTAGTTTGTGGAAATACAAATGCTTTATATTTAGGAGTAGTCTGGAAATGTTGATGAGAAGAGCCATGACTGAAATGAGGAAACACAGGTTCAAAAGCACTTTGGACCATCCATCCACTATCTTTACCCGCGTCTTCCTTTTGTTTGGGAGGCGAGGGTCAATGGTGCCCATGCCCAGCTATCATTGTGCAAGAGGCGGGGACTCTTGCAGTCCATCACAGGGACACACAGAGACAAACGAGACAACCATTGACAGATCCTTTTGTGTCTCCTTCAAGGATTTTAGTTCTGCAGTGACTGAGCTTAAATGGGGGGTTCCGCAGGGGTCCATCCTGGGTCCCCTCCTATTCTCTTTATACCTGCTGCCACTTGGTGCTATTTTCCGGAAACACAACATTCCCTTTCACTAATACGCTGATGACTGTCAAATTTACTTCCCCCTAAGACACAATGGTACATGCTCTATTCAACCTCTGCTCGACTGCCTGGCTGACATCAGGGACTGGATGGCTTTAACTTTTTTAAGTTTCAATGAAAAGAAGTCTGAAGTCATGTTGTTCCCTTCCGAGGACATGATCACAAACCACTGCATCGACCTCTCCGCTCTAACCCTGTCAGAAAAACAAAGCGTCACTAACCTGGGAGTGATAATGGACCCTTCCCTGAAACTTAACAATCATGTAAACATGATTGTTAAATCATGCTTTTTCCAACTGAGGCAGCTGTCTAAACTGAAGCCCATATTGTCCAAAAATATCCTGGAGACAGTAAAACACGCATTCATTACATCTAGGCTCGATTACTGCAATTCACTCCTGTTTGGTATCAGTCAGACCTCCATTGCACGACTACAACTGGTCCAGAATGCAGCAGCCCGATTTTTAACAAGTACAGGCAAAAGAGAGCACATTACTCCAGTTTTGGCCTCACTGCACTGGTTACCAGTTCACCATCGAATCCATTTCAACATACCCCTGCATGTCTACAAATGGCTGAACAGTTCCCCCCCCCCCCCCCCACCCTCATCTCTCTGATTTGCTACAGCCGTATGTTCTACCACATTCCCTGAGGTCAGCGGACCAGTTGTTCCTCACAGTTCCAGGAACTCGTCTTAAGCGCAGAGGTGACAGGGCCTTCTCTGTAGCAGGACCAAGACTTTGGAATGAGTTACCGCTGCTTGTCAGACAGGCCCTCTCCCTCTCGGTTTTCAAATCCCGTTTAAAAACCCACTACTATTCAGTTGCTTTCAACACCAGATGATCTGTGTTTTGAACCTGTACGCTCCACAATGGTTAGTCGTCATATTTATTATCTGCATCGTTTTTATGTCTATATTCTGATTTACCTAATTTTATATATTGCTTTGTGTGTTACCTGTTGTTCTGTCTGTACAGCACTTTGGTTGGCCTTGTCGCTGTTTTAAGTGCTCTATAAATAAAATGGTATGGTATGGTAACCATTCATTCTCTCACTCACACCTAGGGAGAGTTACCAATCAGCCTAACATTTCATTTCATTTATTTATTTATTTAAATTAGGACAATGCATATTAATCAACATGTCAGCAGTAAGCATCAATGTAAATATGCCAGAGTTAGCACAACAGCTAATTTTCATCCGTCATGCATATTTTTGGTGCGTGGGAAGAAACCGGAGTACCTGAAGAAAACCCATGCATGCACGGAGAGAACATGCAGAAAGATCATCTGCTGGGATTTGAACTGGCAACCTTCTGAGAGGCAACAGCTCTACCAACTGTGCCACCATGCCACCCCACTTTGGACTAAATGCTCATTGTTTTCTGTTACTGCAGTGTAACACTTCATCCACATAATTTTTTTTAAATAAATTTTGTTTGATCTATAAGAGATTCAGAAACAAATTATATTAAACTTGTTATAGTTAGTGTTTATTATTATTTATTAATCTTAATTCATCTTTGGACGACATGCCTTAAGTGATCAGCAGAGGGCAGTCTTAACCTATCACTGGAGGGGGCAGTGAAGCAGCTGGATGAGTTAAAACATCCAACCTGGACCGACAGCCAATAAAAAGCTCCAGAACTGATCTATAAAATTATGTGTTTTGGAATAAAGTCATAGTTAAAGTTAAATGTGAAGTTAGTATTTTCAGTGTTTCTTTGTATTTTTTCAGTTTACCGGTTGGTACATTCTACCTGTCAAGTGTTTTATCACCAACCTCCAAAGGCAAAGGGACTTAATGTTTTTGTCTGTAGTGTTACTCAACTATGTTTCAGCAAATTTTAAATAGGAGCTAAAATGTGTGTAGTAGTAACTGAGCATCATCCTCAGAATATAAGTTGAGCACTAACATATTGCATAAGATTTGTTTTTAAAATATTGGAGTAAACACTGACTGTCTGTTAGCACAATATCTCATTAACCACTGGATGGATTCTAATGAAACTTTCAGAAAATTATCATTGGCTATATTTTTGCCACTCATTAACTTTCAAAGTCAGTCTAATTCCAGATGGCTGCCACAGCCAACTAACCATAAGAAACACAAAAAGGCTTTATTATTACCAGTTTTCCAAATTTGTCTCATGAGATCATGCTTATCACAAACCAGCCACTAGGGAGCACAATCCAGTGTCTCTTGTGCGGGTCCCAAGCCCGGGTAAATGGTGAAGGTTGTATCAGGAAGAGCATCAGACATAAAACACTTGCCAAAACAAACCTGAAAGTTCATTTAAACTGCACTTAAATTAAGAAAAATGAAAGTCAGCTGTAGTAAGACAGAGTACATGTGTGTGAATGAGAGGGAGGAGGTGGAACAGTGAGGCTACAAGGAGCAGAGGTCAAAAAGGTGCAGGACTTCAAGGACTTGGGGTCCACTGTCCAGGAACATGGGGAGTGTGGTAAAGAGATGAAGAAGAGAGTCCAGGCAGGATGGAGTGGATGGAGAAAAGTTTCAGGAGTGATTTATGACAAAATTAGGTCAGTAAAGGTCAAAGGAAAAGTTTACAAGACAGTGGTGAGACCAGCTATGTTGTATGGTCTGGAGACAGAGACATGGACAGAAAGACAGGAGTCAGAACTTGAAGTGGCAGAAATGAAGATGTTGAGGTTCTTCTTTGGAGAGACAAGAATGGATAAGATTAGGAATGAGATCATCAGAGGTTCAGCACATGTTGAACAACTGGGAGATAAAGTTAGAGAGGACACACTGAGATGGTTTGGACATGTCCAGAGGAGGGACAGTGGGTATACTGGTAGAAGGATGTTAGAAATGCAGCTGCCAGGAAAAAGAAAAAGAGGAAGGCCAAAGAGGAGATATATGGATGCAATTAGAGAGGACATGAAGGTAGTTGGATTGAGGACAGAGGAGAGTGAGATGGAGGAGGATGACTTATTGTGGTGACCCCTGAAGAGAGGGCAGCCAACAGAAGAATATATTATGCTTATAGTTTTACAAGATTTGAGAAAAACATCTACCTCTATGTCTTTCATCACCTTAAATGATCTTAGTTCAACAGTCTGGCACGAAGGCAGGCAATCTGCATGCTTTGATAGGCACTTACTAATATAAGTTACAAAGGTAGGAGTGTGTTTCCAATTCCCAGTGTTACTGACCTCCATGGGCGGGTACGTAGGTGACCTGGTAGGTGTCCACCCGAGCTCTCGGAGTCACCCAGTGAACAGTGGCAGATGTGTCGGTTACTTCAGAGAAACGGATGCCCCTAGGTGAACCCAGGTCTGGTACACATGAAACAGAAGCAGCAAATGGGAATAAAACAAGATTTAATCAGTGTCTGTTTTTTGATTGGCAAGCGTGAAAGCAGTATATCAACATGTAATAGTGAGTATTTTCTGCAGTAACATGAAGCAGCAAACAGTAGAAGACAGGAATTCAGATGCCAGGGCATATCTTACACAAAAAGGAGCTTGAGAGAGTTTGTACGACAGACAGACAAAAGTGAGACCTGAGGAGGTCCCAGAAAGGCCCTTCCCACTTATAGGCTGGCGAGCCGCAGTATCTTGCATGACAGACTTGAAGAGATTAACTTGCCCTCATTTCATGGAACACACAAAATTGAAATATGTGCCACAAAACCCAAAAGTAAAGCCTTGCCTTCAGGGAGGCAGGGGACATAAGCATAGACAACAAGTATTTTATGTGACACTGAAAACCCCCATCAGGCACCAGCATCCCCTTTACAGAAACAGGCACAGACTCATGGGGCAGGTAGTTACAGAAAACACAAAGAAACTTTATTCCCTGAATGAAACTCAATATATTTAAAATAAAACTGACATTTGAAGTTAAATATGTTTAGAACATGTGTTTAAGTACATATATTGTATTTTATGACATTTTAAACTAGAACTTTGACTCCCAAGCTGGATAGGCGTTCATGTCATGTTCCTCTTCAAACAAGAAGAATATGTCATTGTTGTAGCTTCTCCACCTTTAGTTTTTTTAACTGACCACACATATTATTGACAGCTTTAGCTGAGGCATGTTGGCCAGATTCTGATCCAGCAGTAGTCCAATAGCCACCGTGTGGTTTGTCTGATCCAGCTGTGATGTTCCAGCTCAGATGACAAAAGACAAGTGGTATCAATAGTAAATGTTAGAACACGGTTCACATATTTTCATGCGGTTAACATCAAAGACAAGACTGACAGGATATGATATCATTCCACATGGACAACGTTGACAAGACACTTCCAGAGATCCAGAGTTCCATTACATCTTTGTGATCCATCCTGTCACCATGTACCTGTTCTCACTCTCTTTGTTACAGACTTGGAGCTTCTTCCCAAACTGAGACCAAAGAGCTCAACGTTGTACTTGGTGTCCTCAGTGAGATCTGTCAATGTTGCATTTCTCTCCTCACCACCCAGAACCAGTTCTCTGGGTTGGCCTGGGTCCTCGTCCTGACTTAGCATTAGAACAAATGTGTCAAAGATGTCCTCCTCAGCCATCCAGGTCAGCACAAAGCTGTCGGGGGTTATGTCAGAGACTAGGAGAGCTTCCACCTCCGGTTCGATCTCTGAGTGACAGTGGGGGAGAGTCAGTTTTGCTCCTTTGTGGAACTAGACAGAAGTTTGAAAACTGAAGCGAAAGATAACATTGACATAGGTCCACACAGTGGCAGAGAAGAAAAACAGAAGTAAAAATGTTTAAATAAATAATTTAGACCTTTTAAAGTAATGCTTTATGGAAAGGTTATGAACAATTCATATACTTGCTACAGCATAGTACACACCTCATACCGTAGTTACCATGTTTGTTTGTGTCCATTACATACCTTGCAAGCACCAGATACATACAGGCATGCACCTGCTAGGTACTAGGTGCAACATAGTACTTACAGGATATGTACTAGCTACTTCCCTGATATGTATGTAGTATTTACTTGATATGTGCCTGGTGTGTACTGAGTATGTACAGGGCACATACCCGATATTAGAGGGTATGTACTGGATATATACAGGATACTTACCTAGTACCTGGCAGGTATGTAATAAGTACATATTTGGTATGTACTGGTAAGCACAGTGTACTTACTCGGTTGTACCTGGTAAATGGTAAATGGTCTATACTTATATAACACCTTTCTATCTTATCACAATACTGAAAGCGCTTTACACTACAATCTGTGCCCTCATTTACCCATTCATACAGCACTCTACTAGATCTATACACATAATAATCAGTGCTTTATCACAGTCATACACTGATGTGATACACATCAAAGACAATGAGGGGTTCAGTGTCTTGCCCAGGGACAATTCGGCATGTGACTGCTGGTGGAATCGAACCCCCAACTCTTGCATTGGAGGATGACTGCCCTAACCACTCAGCCACAGCTGCCCTGGTACTCACCAGGTTTACACTAGGTAGGTACCTGGTATGCACATTCATGATCTTCTTAAAATTTTGAAGATTGAAGTAGTTTTAACAACAATTTTGTCTTGGCCTCACAGAATATAGACACAGAGCCCTCGATAAAAGATCTGAACCAACAGAGTACTGTTTTACAAGTTCCTCAGAAATGTCCACAAACAGTATAATCCCCACAGCTGACTTACGTAACAAAGCAAAGGGTATGATGAGTAAAAATAACCATTTTAACTAAATTAAAATTGTAACAAAGTCAAGGGTTTATCTTTAGGTTTTAGTAAAAGGACACCTTAGACTGCAAGGTTTGGGCAATTAAACATTCAAATCAAAACACTTAATCTAATACTGGTAACCTGTTTAGTAGAAATGTAAAGCATCCCTCAGGGCACACTGTATCCCAGCAGAAGGTGCAGTGTGTTTCTTTAAGTCACACCCTGGAGTATTTTACTGAAGATAAGTGTACCGAACAGAACAGAGATCTGGGAAAAGACTTCTTCTTTCTTCTCCATTCTGATACTAATAAAAATATTAACTATTGATAACCGCCTGACCAAACATCACTTCAAAAATGATCAGATTATCAATTTAAGCTCTAAATTTACTGGTCTATCTACATTCCTACACTGTCATCTGGTCTCTCTAAGGTCTTCCTGGACATACTGTAAGGTTTACAGGTACATTCCACTGGAAGGATGGTGCAGGTAAGCTACCCCTTCATCTACAGGAGGAAACTCGCACCAAGACGGAAGGCTATAAGTAGACCAAAACCAGCCCGGCACCTCTCACAATGGGCAGCTCCAGAGTGGAATAAGGTTCAGTCCCTCTCAAGGAGATCACTCCCTAAGTCCATACCATGCAATGAGTTGAGCCTGACTATGTCAGTTTCTTAACTTCACGCACAAGCTCAGGCTCCTTCCTCACCAGAGAGGTTACATTCTATGTCCTAAGAGCCAGCTTTGGTAAGTCAGGTTGAGAAAACCAAGGCCCCTACCTTCTGCTATCACCCATGGCACAATAAACCCGACTTGCATAGCCCCTCCTGCAGTTGGTGAGGTCACAGGAAGGCAATCCCATGCAACTCATTTGGACTGAGCTCGACCGGGTCCCATGGGGAGAGGTCCAGTCACCAGGCACACTGGTGGGGCCCTGGCAACCCATGTTCGGGGCAGAGACACTGAGCTCGTTGTTCTTCTTTGTCCGTTTGGGTGTTCTTGTTTAAATCCCTGTCTAATCATCTGAAGGACAGTAGAATGCCAGAGACCAAGAGAAAAAGCCCAATAACCTGCTGACGTTTTTGAAGCAAATGTATTTTCTTCTAGCATTTTGTTATGATCACATTGTAAAAATTTAAACAGAAATAAGGAGAATGAATATCTAGAACAAGCAGCGAGGACAAAAAAAAAGACGTCTCAATTTCAAAAATATCTCCCTAACAAAACACAAGCTGTCTACAGTCAATAGGTTTATTTTTACTGGAATTAATTTATCAGCCTGACGTAAGTAAGTTCTGGATTTTTTTAACTATAGTTACAACCATCTACTTTTCAGATACAAAATGTTTTCTGCAGTTGCTTATTCTTTAACATTGTGCTGAGTTGCCGTGTTGGGTGAAAGCTTTGTCAATCTGTCTCAGTAGTGTAACAGAACTAGAATTGCGCCGCTCAAGGTGGCTGCATGTTGGAGCAGCTCTGTTACTTTCATTCTGAGATTTTGCTTTTGGAAACTTTAATTCCTCTTTTTCTGGATGTAAATCACTTTTTTTTTTTTTTTTTTTGAATGATTGTTTCCTCTGGTATCAGATGCTGTGCAGCTGGAAGGATTTTTACTGAAACTTTTTTAGTTTTGGACATTTGTTATGATGCGTAACCATGGCAACAATGCAGTTTTCTACAACCAACAGCAGCTGATTAATATCTCAAAAGCTCAAATAATATTTCAACTACAGCCCCAAATCTAAAATGAGTTGAAAGGATGTTCTGTGGACGCATTCTCATCTACCTGCCAGCTGTGCTTGAGTGCCTGACCACTGAGATCCTGAAACTAGCAGGAAACACAGCTCATGACAGCAGAAGGACAGGATCGTCCCTCAGCACCTACAGTTGGCTGTCTGCAGCAACGAGGAGATCGGCAGACTGCTGGGAGGAGTGGTCATCGCTCTGGGAGGAGTTCTGCCCAGCATTCGAGCAATCCTACAGCCCGGGGGAACTGAGAGGCCAGCCGAGTCTGGGTGGACAGATCGGACGGCATCTGCAGCCAGTTTCTTAGGATCCACTGTGGAATGAACCTTTACAAGAGATCCTTCCTGCTTACAGCCATCAGTATCTATAACATCTCTTAATGAAATGAGGATAATGAGTTACAACAACAAACAATTTTCCTTTGGGATTAATAAAATATTTTTGAATTGAATTATATAGTTTTTTTTTTAGACTTTATGTTTTTGCCATTTTTGGTGTAACTGGGAGCTGTGTACATAATTTCATTCCACCTCATGTAATAAAGTATTTTTGAATTGAATTTGAATTGAATTGAATTGAATCCAGTTTTTATACTGGATACTCCAAACAAACAAAACCCCAGGACTTTACTGAAGCAGGATTGAATTAATTGGCTGATTTTGAGTATATAAAAATAAAAATAAAAATTTTAATTAAAAATGTATTCAGTTAACTATAGTTTTCTGAGGCAAATCATACATTGGTTTCTAAATTTGTATAGGCAGGTCAGAGCTGTTCAAGAATAAGAAATCAGTGTCAGTCCACAAGGTGCACTTCCTAAAAAGCTGTACATCTAAAATCATTAAAACCTTTTTAATTGAACTTGAGTTTGTGAAATGTACAGTACAGCTCTTTCGTTGCACTGTGCTGTAAATGTTGTGATTTTAAGCCATCATTAGCAGTTTCTAATCATGGCAGAGATTGGAAGAAAGCAGGAGTATCTATCTACTGCACCAAAGCTGCGTTTCCTCAGAGGACGAGTCTGCTCCACTTTAATTAGCTTGAGAAACTTCCGGTAGCAAGCAGATGGGTCCACAAACTGGACAGAGCTTTTAAAGCAGTCTGGGTAAAAGCAGATATGTGAGCTCAGGGAAGGCTAAAAAAACCCAGCACCATTGCTCATTAAAACACTGCACCGAATGTGAGGGTCTCAGGGGTCCTTGAACTAGCCTGAAACCCCTTTTTTTCATTGTGAGAGGGAAAAAAGTGTGAGGAATTTGTTTTGAGAAGAAGTGGTGGAAATGAGAAGCCCAGCAGACAAATCCCAGGGAGCTGTCACTCTTCATTAGCCACCAAGCAGTTTTAAGTGGCCAGTAGAAGAGAGGGAGGGCGGCCTCCATCAGCTAACGTGCTAACTTGCTACTGATTTCACCCTCCCAACACCCCTGTCCGACCCCCTTCCAACACAAGACCTAAGGAAACATAATTCCTGCTTACAAAAAGGACTCTGTTGTGTGATGAAGTGTGTGCTGAAGCCAGCTAACCTTCAGAAAAGAGGGTCTCCAGGCAGAAGCTCAGGTCTGGTTTCAGTCCTGTTTGATAACTTTAGAAGAGCAGCTTTTGAATCACAAGCAAGTAAAACTTGTTCTGGGCACTGTCCACATCTTTGTGTGGTTCCATCAATTGCCTCTTGTATGAAACTCCCTCCTTTTTACTCAGTTTTCCTACTTCCTCCTCTGTGGAGAACTTTATTCTCACTTCGATGTCTTCCTCTCAGAGCCTGCAGCATCGACCGCTGCCCATAATGTGATCAACTTAGTCAGCGGTCGCATTCACAAGTTGGAATGTATTATGGATTAAGTGAGACTAATGAAACATGTTAAGATGGTTTCAGCACACCATTAGCATGCAGACAATGGGCAACGTTGAGCACATGCCATATTCTGCTCAGCCCCAGAAGCCCCTGGCACCCATGCACAGGACCCAGGGGCAATGGCAGCATGAGAATGAGGGGGGAACTTGGGATGCATACAGACGAGAGGCCTCACACAAAGTGACAAAAGCGCCTCAGGGTTTTTCTTTCCTCCATCAGACCCCCCCCCCCCCCACACACACACACACACACATTCTTTTTTTCCACTTGACTGCTCCTCATCAGTGAAATGCTCATTGATAAATGTTGGAATAAATGTTGACATAAACCCACCTA